ATATATATATATATATATATATATATATACGTATATATATATATATAATGTAGAATCTCAAAAAAACATGAAGAAATTATCAGTACAGAAACTATCAAAAAACATGAAGAATGATATATATATATATATATATATATATAATTATCATCAAGAAAAATTGATAAAATTATCGTCAGGAAATCGAGACAACTATTCATTTCTTTATCCTTTCGCCCACACTTAATTTCATCTGTGCCGTATGCTCACATCCCATATCCGCGAGATAGCCACTTTTAATTGCATTGTTGTGAAAGCATTCCTCTATGTGTACATATTTGCGTGACAAGATCTAAACATAATTTCCAGCCATATGCAATTTTACTGAAATGAATTTTTTCCTGTAAATCATGCTCAAATAAGCTTAGCCGAATAAAAATTCGGGGCACCTTTGACACCAATTTAACTGGGTAGCTGAACTGAGCTGGAAGTCACATTTTTATGAGGATGTCTGCTGTACATGTGCGTGCACCTAAAGGCATAAAATGAATTTTACCTTATTTGTGCGCCCAGCGTCTGATCGCTTCAAATGTTAACACTGAGACAATTCATCATCCTTCTCTCTCGGTAGTCACACGGGCTAGAAAGTTGTAATTTTTATGTGAGTACAGGCAAGCAAAGCTTGGTGCTACTTTTCATGTACGCGAATTTCTCGTGTAACGGATGCTGAAAATTTCTGGCGACTTTTTTGTACGATTGACAAAAATTTCCGCTTATAATAAACGCACATGCTAAAAAGTTGAAATTTTACGAGGCCAACAAACACAGGGTTTTACGAGCTGAAATTTTTTCTGCCTCCTTCATAAATAGAGGAAAAGACAAACAAAAACATTCCAACATAAGGTCTTGTATCAAGCTGTAAAACATCAACCATGACTATTAAAGCTGCGCAATTTATGGAAGCCCCGTAGTTCCTATAATCACAACACATTTTTATTTTGATATTAAAACAGGAGGGTCGCGCATAGTGTGGGCACATACTTCCGAGATTTCAGCTTCTTAGCATTTCTGGTCCTTGAGTTGAAAGTGGGTGACAAAAAGTGCGAACACACAGACACACACACACACAGACAGCCTCTTGCCAATATGCGTTTTTACATTTGCATATATGCAAAAACGCATAAAAAGCATAACTGATCATTCGATTGCTAAAAGAAACATCTGTCTTTTCTGCCGCTACCATCTTGACTACTGCACTTCTCATATTTCGTTTCTGTCTGATCAAAATGCGTGTCTGTAGGTACAGTAAATAAAGTGATGCAAACATTATTTGTTTTTGGAACTGTTCTGGAATTATGCCACTCAACAAATGCATTTCAGCATTTTTAAGAATGTTGGAGCTGTTTGGGGTCGAGCCTGGGAGGAAAATGGCAAAGTACGAGCTCTGTGTATCAACAGGCATTCAGTTAAAATTCTGGATAAAGGTTTTCGGTTGCTGCTGTACAGAGGAACGCCGGATACTAATGGATACAAGTCAGTACCATTCTTTTTAACTAACTCCAGGCACTATTTAGGCTTAAAAATCAGGAATTTCCAAATACTACGCGTGAATCTAAATGTGTCAAAATGTTTCGCAGCAACATTCAGTGATTAGTGGAAACAAAATTCAATAACTTTTCTTACTCGTGTAGCTGTTTGGAGAAAAGCACATGTCTCATGATGAGATTTCAGATTTGCATGGGTTCGGGTGAAAGATGTGGACCGTGGCACAATATTGTTTACGGGTCCGAATATGCATGCGCCAGCAGTATTCTCGGAGGACGGCCAATTTGAGTATCTCGGTGATGCGGATATATCGAGGTGGCAAATGGAATTCGTGAAGTATGGCTCAGACGAACCGCATACCGTTGCCAATTACGGCGCAACGCGCTACTTCGACGATGACGTTTATGTACTCACCAAGCAGCGCTGTCACTGTCAGTGCTAGTTAGCATAAATGCGCTTTCATGCCGCAGTCCTGTTCTGTCACTAGGGTTTCTGTTGTTTTCCGCGGTGTTTGGAGCTGTCCTTGCGAAAGTTCATTATGTTTTCGAACCAATAGCGGGATTAAAAATCCAATGAAAGAACATTCAGTTGTTTGAGAAAAGTGTATGTATTACATTTCGTTCGAAAGAGCAACGGTATTTTAATATTTCCATGCATACTTCACTTTAACTAATACTAGAATTGTTAGCGAATTTGTGTTTCTGGCATGTGAACACTACGAGCGGAAAGTAAATTCCTTCAGTGGGAAGGCCAGCCCCTCGGGAATTTGTTCGTCTGTTTCGATATTAAAATGGTACTTGAGCATACCCTGAAATCGGAATTGCTATAACCTGGTCCGCAAGCAACTTCTCCTCCACTGGTTATTTTTTACTTTCCTCTATTGGGGCAATGATGAGTTTTTTGCTCGCCTCCGCTTTCCGCTCTTACACATTCCTCAGTACACACAGTTTTACCACTAGAGTGCGCAAAGCTTCAAGAATGTTGAAGAAGGGAAAGAACAACGAGCAAAGATCCGATGAGTTTTGAACTTGTTGTTTAGGTGGAAGATACTTTTCTTTGTTGATACCATGGATGAAATTATTTCTCAACGTGCACTGATTATGCGAGAGCTGATGCGCGGTCCAGAACTGCAAGCATCCTCATTGTCCCCTCATCCCTTTCGAAAATTTTTTCACTTGCTCGCAAGTACTCGGTATTCCAGGGATTCTGCCTGTAAAAAGAGCCTCCTCAGCAAAGATTTGGCTGGTGACACTGGGCCCTCCGTCTGGAAGCACGGGTCATTCGGATTTGGGTTACTAGTGCGGACCATCCCAGGCTTTGCGATTTCTTCCAGATGTAGTAACGTTCGCAAGGGTACGAATAAGAGAGGTTACTTTCAGTCCGTCTCACCTTCACTTACCTCAAGTAACCTCACTAGCAGCTGTGATTTGCTCATTCGTTGTTGTTGTGTATGAGCAGTGTCCTAGTGTTGTGTTCATCCTATATATTCTCACTGAGGTTGTGCATTTGACCGGTTGTGGATTATGGCAGCTTTTTTGTTTCTTTTTTTGAATGTGAAAAAAAAAGAAATGTCGGGTCTAACGACTGTTGCAGCAAACATTAACCAGATCGCCTAATGAAAAAAATCGTGCTGAGTACGGCCAGAATTAATCACCGTACTTGCTTCACCTCAACTTAAGTTTGGAGGACATACAACTACATTTTGTGTGGTGATTTGGCGTTGTATGGTAATTGTTATGCACCGGTGTAAGTGGTTTCACTGGCTCGCAGCGATCTGCGGTCATCCATTTTGATCTAAAGAATTAAATGTATTTTGTACCTGAGATGGTTAGCTAGCAAAGTAGGTTTGCGGAGGAACGACCATTTTCACATGTTTTGTTGAATGAGTTCTCCAAAATGCCAAATTTCTTTTAGAGTAGATATTGTTACTTTGATCATCCATCAGTATTAGTTTCATCAGAACGTATTTTGGCGCAGACAAGACGGTCGACAGTAGCTTTAGTTGTGTCTCGGACCGAAACCGCTTCATTTTGTTAAACACTTGTGGGTGATCCTGCAAATTGCTTCAGATTTTTGCAAAATTCATTCTCTCTCATCTTCCTTCATTTACCGTTGAATTTTTTGTATAGGTTTTTGCCGTACAACGCCAGAGCGTTGCAACAGCCAGCAAAAAAGCGCATTGCGATGACCGTGTTTATGTGTGTGTTTGTGTATATATTTTTATTGTGTGTGTGTATATACATGTTCGTCTGCCCGGATGTTTTTACTTAGCAACCACGCAAGCTTTAAAGCCGAAATTTTGTCAGTATGTTCTCTGGCCAGTTACGATCCCAGGAATGTGATATCAATTGTCACGCACGCCTATGTCTCGCGTGTGGGCGCGTGAGAGTTTTGGCGGGAGAATCACTAACTCGAAAACGAGAAAAGCTAGAAGGTTGAAATTTTAAGGGAATATTTCTTACTCATACACGAAAAAAAGTTGTCAGATTCAGCTCCTCAATACCGTCCGGTACTCACGTACGGACGCGTGCAAGTTCCGGTGGGAAAATTGCTAACTCAGGTACAAGAAAAGCTAGAAAGTTGAAAACCTCAGGAGAGTGTTCACTACTTATGTTCTATCAAAAGATTCCTTGGAACCATCCGATTCTCACGGGCGCGTGAAAATTTTGATGGGAAAATTGTTAACCCCGGACCGGAAAAAGCTGGAAAGCTGGGATTTTAAGGGGACGTCCCCTACTCATGTGCGACGAAAAGATTTCAAATTCGACTCCTCGGAACGGTCTCGATCTCACGTACGGATAAACTTCTCGCAATTGTGCAAACTTCCATTACAGCATAACATTAACGATATTCGCTTCCGCTACAGCGAAGACGGTACTTACAAGTTATTCGTGCTCCTTGTTGGGGGTTTCTACGTGCGCCAGTAATTTTCTGTTTTTCAGTCACAAAAGCCGATAACAACAACTGACACACCACGTAGCTGCACAAAGAACTTCGAGGATCAGTATGTCACAAACTCTAGCTACCAGGAACCCAAGCAATTTTATTACAGCATGAAATAGTGTAAAAACGCATGATCTCATCAGCCTGCCTAGCGCATGCCTCAATGACTTTCTGATTTGGTGAAATCTCCAGAAAAAAAAAGCAAAAAGATTATGCACGTTTGCATCGTTGCTTTGATTGGGCGCCGAACAAAAACCACTGAAATTTCGGGGAGCGATCTTAGCTACTCGAGGAAAAGCTACGTCTCCATTACCATGCAAAACATTACTAACAAGTGTAGTCCAGGCTGGAACGCACCAGCTGAGCCGGTGTGATTATGTGTTTTTCACTGAAATCGCAAACCGCTAATAGCAGGAATGATCGCTACGCTGTAGCCTAACACTTGGACTCACACTGGTCGTGCTTTGATCCTTTGCGGCATACAAGAGGAAGGGCGTCACAGTAGGGATGAAGGTGGTGCACTGTAGAGCCGCACGGACATCCGGGTGCGTGATTATCGGTTTTCAGCGTGAAGTTCGGTCGTTTTTTCGGTAAACGCTCGCTTTGTGAAAAAATGACAAATGCAAATTTTTTGAAAAAATG